AAAAAAAAAATAGCAAAATAGTAAAAAAGATCTATAGCAACAACCTGCACACTTTAAAAAGATTGATTCTTTATTGATATCTGTGGTTCCATGAAGAATATGTTCATTGGACAAAAGGTTCTTTATAGTGAAAAAGGTTTTTAAAATGTTCTTCACACTAGTGCTGGGCGGTATATACCGGTTCATACCGAATACCGGTGTTTATTTTTGTTATGATATGAATTTTTTAAATACCGCAATACCATCATGACAGTAAAATAGGGCATTCTAAGTCAATATACTGCAGAAAATGAGGTTAACACCCGGTCATGCATGAAAAAAAAAAAACGTCATGTATCGTGAAAACGATATAATTTTGAAAAATACCGTGATATAAATTTTTGGTCATACTGCCCAGCACTACTTCACACTAAGTACAGGGTTTCTTCGGGTCTTATAAAGGTCTTAAATTCATAAAGTCATGGCATAATTGTTGTAAGTGCACTTTGAAAAAATATATATGTTCCTCAGTATTTTTGTTTTGTTTTCCAATTCAAATATTTAAACATCCTTAAGTCAGGAGGATACAATTACTTGAGAGGTAAAACGAAGATATGAAGTTTGAAACTGAACTGAATAAAACTGAGATTATGCTTAAAACAAGAACAAATATCTGGGCTGTGAAAACCTGTTTTCCCTTTGAATTAAGCTGATTTCCGAGTCCATTAGCAGATATTTGTTCTTGTTTTAATCATAAACTCACTTAATTTAAATACGTTTCTCAGAAAACAAAACTTCTTATGTCATGTTGCTTCTCAAATAAATGTATCTTGATTTAAGAATCTTTTAGACATTTCCACTGGAAACAAGTCAAAGTTACTTTTTTTTTGTAGTGAGAATAGAAGGTACAGTAAAAGTTATTTCCATATTTTAGCGTTTAGGGTCAGAGCTATTCAACCCATGAGGTTTTTTTTTTTTTTTTTTAGTAAAATGAATAACAAAGTAATAGAGAGTTGGTATGAACAGTAGTGTCACTAATATAACTTAAAGTGTGCTCCCTAGACATTTACATTTAGAGAACATGTATTCCCCTCAATTTATTCCTTACGTTTTCTTTCCTTGGTCTTAAAAAAAGTCTTAAAGTCTTAAATTTACCTTCATAAAACCTGCAGAAACCCTATAAGAAAAAATGGTTCTTTTATGAACTGTTCACTGAAAGGTTCTTTAAGGAATGGTGGTTCTGTGGCATCACTGCAAAAACCCTGTTTTGAAACCTTTATTTTTAAGAGTGTGGCAGCAGCTTTTGCAATGAGAATGAGTGTCAGACTTCAGGCGGCTGGTGAACGTGCAGATTTTAGTCCCTAAGGTCCCGTTTAAGATCTGACAAAAGCAGACTTCACTTTTATCATGAGCAAAGCAGGAAACCCATCCCATTAAAGAGTAATTATAAAGGACCACGGCTCTACGGCTCAGGGAGGGGCTTCTGAGGACTGCCAATTCTGCAAAATAATTTTTCAGATAAGGAAACGGTTTGCTTAGTGCTGTAGTTTAACGTTCGGAAACAATGAGGCCCATTTTACAGTACAGGTGCAGTATTGAAGTCCTGCGTGTTTGCACAGTTTCTACATCAATCAGTAGTGGATAACAACCTTAGTACTCTATTATTTCATGCCCATTATAGGTGTATTATCCAGCTTGTAATGCAATTAATACGTAAAGAATAAATGATGGCAGATCATTGAAGTATGGAAAATGAATACAAACCTTGCGTCTATAGAGATGCACTGTAAGTAAGTTTGTAAACGTAATGTAGTGATGTGCAGTTGATGCATTCAACAAAGCACTTCATAGACATACAGTTAAAGAATCAAAAGTCCGTCAACCAGTGAAAAAAAAAAATGACACTGGTATAATTGATCATAATGTGCTATGACTATGTCATCTGGGCTGGGCTCTAAATAATGTTGACTCGCGTATTGACTAATCAAAGTGACATGAAATATTTAGAGGTCAAGTGTCGTAATTGGTTGGCAAAAATGTTTGCCTTTGCCTTTTAAGCATACTGTGATGACATGTTCTTTTCTTAAGTATACTAAAGCAGGCTTTCTTTTCTTGATTAAAACCTCATAAACACGGGTCCTGACAGTTACAAAGTAGAGTTGCCTCATTACATAAGTCCTCATCCTGATTGCTTTTTTTGTTGTCTTCTCTTTGTTTGAAGTGAGAAAAATGAGAAACAGAGCAATTGACTTGCTAAGCACTATCAAGAATCTTTCATCCTGGTTGCTGTGGCAATAAGCTCCTTTATCCTCGGTGGCGAGTGTCCAATTAGAGGCGGTACTCATCTCACCCTTGAAATATTGCATCTGCTGCTTTTTTTTCTAGGGCTCCGAAAAAATTGCCATTAAATAAAAATTAAAAATTCATTTTTCTTGCTGACGTATATAAAAGATTTATATATATTTTATATGTGAGGAAGAATAATATATTTTTATTTAGGTATTTATCATTGCCATTTTTGTACAAACTGCACACTACATTTTTGTGTGAAAAAAGTGACAGTAAAGACATTTATAATGTTACAAAAGATTTCTACTGTAGTAAATGCTGTTCTTTTAAACTTTGTTCATCAAAGAATCCTGAAACAAAATTGCTGTAATATGTTTTCCACAAAAATAATAAACAGCAACAGCATAACTGTTTAATAATGAGCAATGTTTCTTGAGCAGCAAATTAGTATATTAGAATGATTTCTGTCTGAATGTGAATCTGAAAACTGGAGTAGCGATGCTGAAAATTCAACTTTGCATCACTGGAATCGATTACATTTTAAAAAATATTCAAATAGAAAAGTTTTGTTTAAATTGTAATAATGCATACTATATCACTGGTTACTGCATTTTAGTTTAAATAAATGCAGTCTTGGAGAGAAAAATAGATTTCATCGTTTGCAAATATTCCAAATTTTACTAACCCCAAACTTGCGAATGTGGAATATACAAGTCAAAATGTTGTCAGGGCAAGTAAAAAATCTGAACCTACTGTAAACAACACCTTACTGTTATTTACACATGCTTCTTTCTGGTTTTGTTCTTGCATTATAAACGACCTAAGTGAAAGGTCTTCAAGGTCCTGTGCTTCGCTTCGCTTTGCTATGTCACGTTGCATCGCCGGTGAATCCATTTATCCAATGAGAGTGGTTTAATTCTCATCAGAGCCAGTGCCGTTTGGAGAGAGAGGTGCCAAAGAAGCTGGGTCAATGGTTTCAGAGGAAGGGCACAGACAACAGCTGTAATGATTTTCCTGGAATCAGCTGGCAGAAATGCAGTCTGGGATCAGTAATGGTGAAATAATGGCTGCTCACTGCAGAGAGAGGAGAGGTGCACTACGTCAAAGATAGGAGTAAAATCACCAAACCTCAATAAGGATAAGTTTCATCGCAAGACCTGGGGTTGTTCTCCATTTCTGCTCTTACTAGGCTGATCATTAAGCAGTTACTTGTTCAGAAGAGAGGTCTTTTTTTGACTCTTATGGCTTCCTGTTGTTATCATCATTAGGGAACCGGCTGTTGGTTCCTTGGGTTGCTCACATTGAAAGCGATTCAATCACTGCAGGGCACCAAATCAGAGATTATTAGAGAAGCGAAGATGGGAACCTCCATGTCTATTAGGTGTTGCATCGACTAGTCAGCCAGTTGATTAGTTTTTTGAACTAGTTCTGCCACTAGTTGGGCTAATTTAGTTCGACCAGTGTTTCTCAATCAGATGGCCTCCGCAAACTTCCAGGGACTCCAATATGTCCTCATTTATTTAAACTTAGTTATATCAACACAGCCTTAATTAAAATTCTTTAAAAAATTAATATTTAAGCAAAACACTAAAAATTGAGATGTAAAAGTGTATTAAGATATAAAGAGCAAAAATGCCTGTATAATATTTGGCAATTTTTCCATGTTTAATATAAATGAGTTTGTCTACATAATAATTACTTCATTTGTTCTCTCATTTGATTTAAACTTGACTAAACCTTGTTTTTTTTTTTTAAATCATGGCCACATTGTAGTAATTTGTTTCCTCATTGCAGTTAAATCAAAATGAGGGAATTAATTAGTGCAACATTGCTATGATTTAATAAAGCATAGCATAGGAACAAATTCTTAATTCATGGCCACAATTAACATATTTTTGTCCGCATGTCATGTACATGGCTTCGTATAACACTTGACTGATTTTGTTAATAAAAGTTCTAAGTTTAATATAAGTGAGTTTGTAATTGTACTGTTTTATTGAATGATAACGAATTCACCATTTCAAGCATTCAAAGACAGGGAACAATGTAAAGATCTAATTCATATGTTATCTTGTGGAAAAAGTTGAGATACCCCTGGGTTCGACAACCTCAAGACAGCATGTTCTCTGTTTAAGGAGACAAAAACCTCAGCAGACGTGAATTGTCATTGTCTCTCTTTTTTTTTTTTACAGATTGACCATGTTGATCCTACCCTGAGTCCTGAGGTCTATCTCCTGCACCCGTCCAGAAAGCTGCTTGCCCAGGCTGTGTCATGGCCACCGGTCTCCCCGTCGTGGATTAGATTTAGGGCCTGTCCTCCTAGAACCAGCATTGCAGCTCGTCTGAGCGGGGCCCTGCTGGAGGCCACAGCTGCTCTCGGGGCCCGAAGTTCTCTGCCCGGCTTCACTGTTGGCTCCACAGGTCGAGCGATGCTGAAAGGTAAAAAACCCCCACCAATTTCAACTTTGTTGACGCTTCAGGCTGATGTTTTATGATTAAAGGGGGAATTCACAACTGACAAGGCTTTTAAGAAAAAAATGTAAATGAAAATGTTTATTTTTGACAAAAACTTCAACACCCGTAATGCATTTTTGATTTGGACAATACCATTCTGTTGATCGGACTGTCAGCAGGAATACAAAAATGCGGCCTTTTGATAACTCCAGGGCTTTTGTTAAGACTACAGATGGAACTTTGCATTTTTGTATTTGGCTGACTTTTGCTAACAAATGAACATATCTTGTTGCAGGTAATGCAGAGGAAGTTTACAAATTGTTCGTTTACACATACAACTGATATTGTAACAATAGAAATCTGGTCAAAAATTGGCAAAATGATCCTTTAAAGTTTTGTAGTCTGGGTATAATTATATCAATACAATGAAGCGGATTTAATTCCACTGCTTTGACTCTTCGATACAGTTATAAACATTGTAGCAAGAGTAATGAATCTTCATTGAGAATTAATTAAACGATTGGAGGATTTTTAATGGATGCTAATTTAAAACTTACAAAGCCATGCAACAAAGTGGCAGCACATTGAGAAAATGGCACATTAGTGAAAAATCAAAGACACAATCTCATAAATCAGCAAGGAATGTGTCAAGGGGGCTGTTTACACCTGGTCACTTCATGCGTTTTGTCTGATCGGATAGCTATCCGATTGTGAAAAGACCAGGTGTAAAAGCAAACCGAAACGCATTCGAGACGGATATAAATCCGATCGCTCAAACCACTTCAGGAGGTGGTCTGGGCCGCATTCCAGACGAAACTGGACCAGTGTAAATGCATCTGGTTGTTGAAACCACATATGTAAATTTTACTCCTCCCAAAATGTTAAAATAATAAACGTGTGAGAGCGTGTTATTGGCTATATGGCATTATAGTCAGATATGACTGCGCTAATGCAACACGCATCACCGCAGACAAGTAGCTGAGCATCTCTTCAGCAAGCCGACGTGCAAACTGCCGCGAATGAAACAAAGTAAGACGCAGACGGTCAACACACAATCATCCTTATTAAAAGTAGTAAGACAAACTTATCTTTCCAGTGCTGATGCCGCGCGCTCTCCTATTGCGGTCTTTGATTTTGAAATGAGCTGATAATTAATAAAATGCAGCGCTTATATTTTGATTTAGTTGACGTGAACTCCGTTAAATTTAAATATAGTGCGGGAATTGAAGATCGGGAAGACACAGAATTTGTCCTTCCTAATGTGTACAGACTACTTTATGGGCATACTGTAGCTACAAGGAATATGGTCAGTACATTTATAGTACAGTTGCTCAAGGATATTGTATTTGCACACAAAAAACATCAAAACTTTTGAGTACTTTCCAACATTTTTTAAGGCATAAACCTGACAATTCCAGCAGCCAGCTTTTCTTCAGAAGTGCTCATTGTGGCATCTGTCTGAGGCTGACACTAATTGCTGCATGCTACATAACCGCAGCCAATATGGGACAATACTTTCTATTCAGGTTGAACAGATAAAAAAGACACAACTTTTAGGGTCTTTGTGCTCACATGTGGATGTTTTTTTTTTGTCCTATAGCATAAAGGCAGTTTTTTTTCCTATGTGTCTTCATTGTCTTTGAGGATCCTCTGGACAGAATTACTCAGGATTTTGTTGATTGGAATGTGCAGATCACTAACTTTGTTTTTCCACATCAAGCCCGCTAGTGTTGACTTGGGACACTGGAAGAAGTTGAGATTCTTCATCAGCACACAGTTTTTTTTTTTGTATAATTCAGATGCTCCAGCATCCTTTTAAAGAAAGGTTAAAGTAATGGACTATTCGCAGCATGCATTTTCTTATAATTCAGATGCTGCTTCATGTTTTCAAAGAGGTGTTCTACATTCAAAGTAATGCATTGTGGCATTCATACTTTTAAATGTTCCGGAATGATTTTCCACAAGCTTTGTTGCAAAATTTGTTACAAGCACTACAATTACAGAGTAATAGATAATACAAGAATAGCGAGATAATATTTTCTGCATGAGAATAATGGCTTTCTTTTGCTAACATAATCTTCTTTTATGCATAATAATGACTTTGCTTTTTCCTTGTGTGGTTTTTTCTTTCACTCTGAAGAGAACATAGCAGTTCTGCTGGCTGAAAGATGATTTATGAGGAGGCCTCTTACAGGCGCCGCAGAAGCAGTTTATGAACTAATGAAAATCATCCCTTCTCCTCCGTCGAGGACTGTGTAACGTGACCGATGCGGGGGAGAAGGCCGTCAGTCTCTGACTTCCTCAACCCTTGGTTCTTTCGCTCTGGCTCGCCAACCGATTCAAACAGCGCACTTCAAACGCCTGCTTTGATTTGCAAAAAGTCAGACAGTTGTTCTCCCTTTAATTTGACTCTGGCCGCATTAGCTTATCACCTGGCGCTCATCCATTTGAAGTGTAACCTTCAAGCCCTTCGTGAGACATGTCAGTGTAAAACGATCCTCAGTGATTCGAACACACGGCGCTCTGGACTAATTCCAGGTGACATGACGTCTGTGTGGGACCATGAGTCAGTGACCCTGGTATTCGCGGCCTCATAATTAAATACACAAGCATTATTTTTCTCGCGTGAGCTGTGGGAAGTTCAGGCATCTGGGCCAAAATGCAATCTGGCCCCTCTCAATGGACATTCTCACCATTTTTGGGCTTTTCAAACATAGTGAGAGGTAAAGATGTTCTGCAAATTAAGTGACACCAAAAGTCTCACTGTGTGCTGAGGTTTATTAGCTGTTTTGGGCAGCAAAGTTGGTTATCATCCATAGTTTAGACCATTTTGTTGGGTCGGTCAGTGAAATGTTTTTGTGAAATGAACCTACGAGGTCATGGTGTAGGTGGTTAATTTTTTACCCCTTACAGATGTCTCATGTTTATTTTAGCAGATGGCAGCGTTGCACACCTCAAAATCTGTTTAACATGTTTTCCTTTTGAAATGTTTTTCAAATGCAAACAGCTTGTAAAGATTGAACTCAATGATGAAAAAGATATTTAAATCCTGCTTAGCATTAAAAGTCATGAGGAGCTTTTGCACTTAAATGGCAACTAACCCCCTTCAAAAACAGCTTACATTTCAACGTAGCTGACTGTAGAATTTCCATATTCAACATCCTGCACTGTTTTTGATTTTAGGTATGATTGAAACAAATTAGCATCAAGCTGAGCATCATTAGTTGAACAATTAGGATGGCCTGTCAAACCGGGGTATTTCAGGCCAGCCAGAACTGTCACTTGCATTTTCGGGGTGATAATTTTACATTTATTGATCTTGGACATCTATTGTTTATTCTTAGCACAATTACACAATTGGGTCATTCTGTGTCAAATCAACCAAATCTCAGAAACTCCGCCGGCTCAAATGTTTAATTTTGTCAATATTTAAACATGTATGGTGATAAAAGCCAAAATAGTAATTGTCACAGGTGTATATTTACGGAGTAATCCACTGTTTTGTAGAGGGGGGGTCAAAATGACTATTTTCACTTGAGATTTGGAGCCAGATTACAGGAGGGGAAAAGTGACTTCAGAAAGATGGCATCATTGTTATTTTTACACAGAGATTGGTAGGTCTATTAGTAAAATCTGTTGACTTTAGCAAATTTTGTCGCATTACATGCCAATGGTGACCGTTCAAAATGGGGAAAAAAAGCACTTTTTAAGTTTTCATCTCCAAAGTTTGCATGCAAGTTTCTAGCAATATTGGAATTTCAGTGTGGCCTCAAGAGTAAATTGTTAAATTGTACACATTTTCAGTGGGTCACTTTGCATACAGATACTTCTTTTCTTTTAAAGAGGAAGGTCTGAAGAACAAATAATTTAGAAGCTAGAAATGAATCTTGTTTTAAATTATAATTTTAACCCTCCTCTACAAAATAGTGGATTACTCAGTAAATATACATAAGTGACATTTAATATTTTGGCTTATATCACCATACGTGTTTATCTTTCTTCAGAAAAAATATCGACAAAATCAAAAGTTTGAGCCATGGACTTCTAGTTGAGTTGACATGGAATGACCTAATTGGTTTTCTGTGACGTATTCAATGTTGTTGTAAATTCTACTGATTTGTCACCAAGATAATATTTAGGCCTAACTGGCTAACATAGATTTTAGGTTATGTCGAAATAGCAAAATTGACTTTTACATTATTTACACTGTAGCTGTATAATTTACAGGCTTGCTTGCATATTTTCTTTTGTAAAGATGAAATGATAATTAAAAAAAAGTAGGGCTGCACGATAAATCGCATGCGATAGTTAACGCGCATCTTATCAGTAAAGCCGGTTCTGTAATCAGCGGTAAAAAGGAAAATGTATATACTCTACCATAGCCTTGGGTTGTGTTTTTGAAAGAAGTTTCTTCTGCTCACCAAGTCTGCATTTATTTGATCCAAAATACAGTAAAAAAAACAGTAATATCTGCTCACCAAGTCTGCATTTATTTGATCCAAAATACAGTAAAAGAAACAGTAATATCTACTCACCAAGTCTGCATTTATTTGATCCAAAATACAGTAAAAGAAACGGTAATATCTGCTCACCAAGTCTGCATTTATTTGATCCAAAATACAGTAAAAGAAACGGTAATATCTGCTCACCAAGTCTGCATTTATTTGATCCAAAATACAGTAAAAAACCCCGTAATATCTACTCACCAAGTCTGCATTTATTTGATCCAAAATACAGTAAAAGAAACAGTAATATCTACTCACCAAGTCTGCATTTATTTTATCCAAAATACAGTAAAAAAACAGTAATATCTGCTCACCAAGTCTGCATTTATTTGATCCAAAATACAGTAAAAGAAACAGTAATATCTACTCACCAAGTCTGCATTTATTTTATCCAAAATACAGTAAAAAAACAGTAATATCTGCTCACCAAGTCTGCATTTATTTGATCCAAAATACAGAAATAAACCCCGTAATGTCTGC